AATTTTGCATTTTTATATATTTTATATATGTTATTACAACATTTATAATAATATATCATAATATTATGTATATTATTATAATATTTTCTATATTTTAGATTTTTTGCATATTTTTTCAGTGCTTTGTTTCTAAGATCGTTTTGAATTTTTAATTCATCATTTCTCCACAATGTGAAAATGTGACTGATCATTTTTCCATTGTGGTCTTAATTTGTTTTTTTGCCTTAAAAACAATCTCTAGTTTGAATTGCAATAGTTTTTAAAAACAGTGATCCCACAAACACACTCTTGTCATTCTGCAATTTTCTACTTCTGCCCAGTGACTCCATTAGTTTCTTCGTGTGTTACTGTCATGCTGAAACAACGTTGTATGCTTAATGTTTTATGTGCTTAGGGCACGCCCTGAACCAGAGGAGCTTCCATTATACATGCGTGCAGCATGTTTTTCATTAAAGCTATGTATGCTAAGCAGCAACATTGCAACTGAAACACCAGCCATTTAGAGATGTGGGAAACAACTTTCAACATCGCTCTAGTTCACCAGTCAGACCACTCTATGGCTCACTTTGTTGTTAAAATCTGAGAGGGGGAGACCATATGCCAAGATTGTCATAAAAGGAAAAGAAACTGCAAGACCTGAACTGAAAGTCTGAGTAGATTGCCATCTAAGGAGCAGCAAGCCTTTTTTTTATTCTATTAGTTTGTCTTTTGTGCCTAAAATCCTTGATGAGGATGGTGAGGATTATAATTTACTCCCTCATCTGTTTAAGGACTACAAACGTCATGTTAATTTGTTGACCATGTGGATGGGGTCTCCACACATTGCCTCATAATTCACTGCTCTGGGTGACTGCTCGAGCCCTCATTGTGTACCTTTGCTTCAGCCAAAGTGGATGGAGATGTCAATGTGAGCCCCTTTGAGTTCTTAGGCAGCCCAGAATTACTGTACATTATTTGACCTTGGAAGATGGTAAAAAAAAATTTGTACTTTGCAATGATTCAGACCTCCTGCCCGATATCTGACATAATCCAGGATGAAGAGGCCTGTATTTTAATCTCTGCTGTGCTTAATCTTCTGAAAACATAGTGCCAATCACATGGGGTAATCATACGGTGCGTGAAGTAACCGCGTATGAACAGAAAAAAGCACATACAGCAGCCAGCAGATACTACCACATCACAGGTTGGAAAACCCATGAAATGGCATCATGAAAAGTATTTTCTCTCTAGCTGGTTTCTTCTATTTTGCAAAGTTGTCACTTGGTTTTTCAAATATTCCAGTTGAATGTAACAGGACAAAGAAAACTTGCATTAATATAAAATACAGACCAAAATGATCATAACATTTACTCTTGGAAAAAAAATGATCCGACACCAACTAGCTTTGTGTGGGAAGTCACACAATCAGACAGTTTTAATTCATAATTGGGATAAATCAGATGAGACACATGCAGGCTTGATTTCTTCCAGCCCTGTTGAATTTGAAAATCACCTAAATACATAGAAATTTTCCCGCTAATATGAGTCACGGTAAAAATAGTGATGTTATACCGGGTACGAGGCTTCGAGTAATGCCAGAAATTTACCATAGAGCACCAATCAAAGCCTGTGTTGTTTTAGATCTTGTGACGTTACTGATGATGTGTGAAGCCCCGCTGTCGGTCTGTACCATGTGACTGGTTTGGGAACCAGTTCAAATTTGGGAACAAGATTTGTGTGTGTATAAAATACCGGAGAAAAAAGATTGCCCCGGTCTGGAAACAGCTGCAAAAATGAATAAAGCTCTTCAGTCTTTTTATTTCACTGGATGTTCTTTAATCAGAGGTTACACAAGCGCTCAGCTCTGCTTAGTGAATTTCAGTACTTTAGGTTAAGCACACAGATATTGAACTGGAAAATTTGAGTAACTTCTCAAAAAGACTGATATACTCATTTAATGAATTTTTCATGTAGTGATTTACAGTAATATTGTTGATATAAATGTATCCTGCTTAGGGAAAAAATGTAATCACCCAGAGTTTTCTTCATTACTAGTTTGGACATTGGTTAAACTAAAGTGGAACCCAGGACAAACCTCTTGTAGATTAGTCTGAAAAAAAAAAACACCTTAAACTTCTGTCACACAAATTTCTCCAAAGTGATATCTGCTTTGGAGGAAAACTATGTTGTACAAAAAATATGCAACCACAAGACCACTCTTTGCGGAACTGCACGCCTGCACTGCAGGGTTCTGTGATGTTTTTGTGGACAGCATGTTCATTGATTGATTGATTGTTAGATAACTTTAAGTTGTCTTACGCGGCAATATCGCAACGAAAAGACAATGTCAAATGCAGCATCTAAAAACACTGGGTCTTCTCGATAGACTACTGTAACTTGCACAATTCATAGGAGTATGTCTCGCACGTGAATGTGTAACTTACGCAACATTGCAAAAATGGAATTGATATTGATATTGAAATGTCTCCCCAGGGCACTTTCCACACCAGTTCGAGCAGCCAATAGACTGGCAAAACACACTTTTCTTGCACACTGTACGAAGGGGATAGCGTATGTGACTTCAGAGACAAGTTTTCCACAGACGTGTCACAACTACGTGGGGGGTCAGAGTTCAAAGGCGAAACATGTCTACTCCTATATGGAGCAGACAATGCTTCTGCTTGTTCTATATGGGTTCTACTTCCACAACTCTTCTGGGAAATCAGGGGGGCTGCATAAGTGAATGATGTATCAAATTAAAGCTTGTGTTACTCCATAACACCATAGTACACACATGTCCTTCACCTGGGTTTGTTCCCCTTTGAAGGCTTTGAAAGTACAGTCATATTGCTGGACTGATGACTTGCAGTAATTTTTTTTTTTTTTTTGCCTGTTCCTTTTTTTTTAATTTATAAAAATTTGGCATCTCCAATCGCATCTGCGTCTTTACACTCATTGGTCGAAACTATCGCAAGTTCGGAACGAGGGCGGAGGATACCTGAACAAGAGCAAGCTCAGAATCTCACTGACGAGCGCCCGGCTGGCCAACAGGAGGCGCTTGAGCAACGAACAAGGCAATCATTTTAATTTCCCTTCCCAGCAGTCCCTTCCCAATTTGCATTCCCACAGCGCTTTAGCCAATTGTGCGCTGTTCTGAAAAAGCTGCCGACCACTGCTGGTTGGTACGACCGGGGATCAAACCCGTGCCGTAGTAGTTACTACTGCTCTGCCTGTTCTTTTTTCTGAGCAGCAGAAGACTTATTGAGCACATAATGTATCACGAAATAAACAGTTTCTCTAACCTCTTTGGCAGAATGGTTCATAGCTTCACAAAGCTTCGTTTCACTATCACTCGCTCAAAAATCTCAACAAGCAGCTTAGTATGCCAGGATCTAAATAAATTCACTCCAGCTAGCAACAGTGAGAGCCATTTCTCCCAGTTGAGAAAACTTGAAATGGTGAATATTTTCAGGAGTGGCTGACCTCCCAAATTCTCTATGGGCCCATCAACAACTCAGCCGAGAAGCCTTCAAAAAAAACCCATGCAAACATCTAAGAATTTGCTGGTCTTGGTGGTCGCTTGTAAGGTCAGCATTCATGATTCCACCAGAGAGTGGGCGAAAAATGAGACCGGGCAAGTGTGTTATCCAAGTGAGAGTTGCAAGGTGAAAAACCACAGCTAACTATAAGGAATTAAAGGCTTGTCTCATATTTGCTGAAAACACCTTGATGACCCACAAGTCTTTAGGGACTATGTTTGGTGGACTGATGAGTGGATAGTGGAACTTTCTAGAAGATGTGTGTTGTAAAACTTGTGCAATATTCCATGATAAAAACACCATAACAAATGTCAAACATGATGGTACTGCTAGTGTGATAGTGTTGAGATGCTTTGGTGCTTCAGGGCTTTGAAGGAACCATGAATTCTTCTCTCTACTGGAAAATCCTGAAAGAGAATAACCAGTCATAACTTTTTGATCATCTGTTCAAGCACATCTGGGTTATATAGCAACACAAAGCACAAGAACTAATTCACTTGATTCACCCAAAACACCTGAAACAAAGTCAATATTTCAGTAACCTTGTAAAAGCCATGACTTGAACCCTAATGCAACTCACTTAATTGAGATAGATCATACAAGAAAACTTGCCAATGGGGCTAAAATTATTGCAATTCTGAAAAGAAGAGGGAGCTGATACCATGAAAGAATGATTTTGCTGTTGCTGCTGCAAAAAAAGTGGCACAATCATGTATTAAGTTTAAGGGGCAAGTACTTTTTCTTGAGTGATATTGTGGATAACCTTGCCTTTAAATGACTGAACTGACCTATTAAAAACAGTATAATGAGTTCCCGCATTCTCCTTGTCTTAAAGTACATTTTTCTTTTTTTAATGAAGGTCTAAAATTATTTAGCACAACAAATATACAAAAACAAAGGGAAGTCATGGCACTGTGGATATTTAGGCTTTTGTTTGCAGTCATTCACAATTACATAAAGTGAATCTTATGCTATTAAAGTTCCTTATTCTCTGAAAGGAAATGAAAATTAAATTATAATTTTATGCAGTGAGCACCACAATTCCGTGGACAGTGAAACATTGTTTGTTACTTTGGTTCTAGTGGAAGAATCAATCACTGGACCTGAATCCAACTGACCATGCATTTCACATGTTGAAGAGGAGATTAAAGATGACAAGTCCCAGAGCCAAGCAAGAACTGAAGATGGTGGCCGATGAGAATCACCAGGGAAGAAACTCTGCATCTACTGATGTCTACACAGACCACAGACCTGAGGGAGTCATTGCATGCAGAGGATAAGCAGCCTAATGGTAAATGGTTAATGGATGGTAAATGGACTGCATTTATATAGCGCTTTCTAGTCACATGACATGACCCCAAAGAGCTTTACTATTCTGCCACTCATTCACCCTGATGGCTGAGGCTGCCATGCAAGGCGCCAACCTGCACATCAGGAGCATTGTGTTCAGTGTCTTGCTCAAGGTCACTTTGACACGTTTCCTGAAGGAGCCAAGGATCGAACTAGGAACCTTCTGATTCCTAGACCAACCACTCTACCTCCTGAGTCATGCCGCCCGGCATTGTTCAGCATTATATTAAATTGTCTAATATTTTTTGATGCACCTGAAAATGGGGGTACTATGTATGAAAGGTGCTTTCATTTCTAAACAGTTCATCTGATATGGATGAAATTAAAGCTGACTGTTTGCACTTCAACCTCATTGTCATTGTATCCTTCCAGATTCAAAGTGCGACAGTAAAGAACCAAAATGATTCATTGTCGAATGAATAATGGTCTTTACTGCACCTGAACATTTTCACACATTCAGCTTTACTTTACTCTTGTGGAAGCAGTACCAAGAGAAAAATATCTTAATTATACTGGCCATCAGTTTTTTGCACAGAGGTCATTTTATTCCCATGGGGGTCATTCACACTGACAAGCAGCCCTGTGGCATTGCACGGTGAAATGCATTATTGAGCCACTGGAGAGCTGATGGCAGATAGGCATATAGCCAAGTAGAAGGGACTGACAGGAGCGAACACTAATGTTAAAATATTTAAACCTCCACAGTGGCACCACACACTGACACTGCAAAAGGCAAGAAAAATATGCATTAAGGCAGTATCCACAGGTCAAAATTCACTAATGACAAATTGTTCTGGAATTTTTAATTGGTCATTGGTTGAACACATTTTCGCCTTTTTGCTTCAGTGGTTAACCCACAAATGATGGGTAAACGTGACCTGGGAATCCTCAACTACAAATGGAAATAAAAGATCTCTCCCTGCATTTCCTCTAGTGTTGACCATTTATCCACATGCCCTTCCCAGCAGCATGCGACTATGGCTACTGGATTAACTCGAGGTCCAGGGCTTTACACCAGTCGGAAAATATTTAACTTAACCTCTGATAACCTGGAGGTAAGGATGAAAACAGGAAAACTTTGGTAGGTGGCTGAGAAGAGAGATTACAGCAAATAATCACATATAATGCTCGATGGGGTCTCTGCCATTTGATTTTTATTGAACCACAGTCATTTTCCGCTAGGATTTCTGGCTTTCATCAGCAATATGCAACATATATCAGGGATTTATCCCTAATTTAGTGCTTTCAGTTTGAATTGAGAGTTATTTGCTTTCCTTGCTGGCATTTACTATTAAAACACTAGATATCTTGCCTTAAAACAGCCAGTGAGAGTGCAGGTCTCTGTTTGTCTGCGCACTGATACACCTGATTTTACCTGCTGTATCAGAGTCTTGGTTGAAGAATAAGCTGAAGTAATATGCTGAATGGGATGTCAACATGCAGAACTAAAAACCTGACCCTGCACACACCCTTTTCAGATGCAACTGAATACTGCTGCTTTTGATCGCCGCTCTTTGGAACAATCTTTAACATTTTTAACTGGCATGAACCTTCAGCACATTCCTGCTCAGTTCTGGTTTACAGCTCACAGTCAGCAGAGAAAAGATATGATTGAATCAGGTAATTGCTGCCAGAGGCAAAATCTTGTCTCAATAATTCATCTATTTGTTTCTATAATTTTCCTTCCTCAGGAACAATGCAAGCAAAAACTAATCTAACAAAGCAATGTGTTTATAAAATAAGGGAGAAAAAGCAAGTGGAATTCTCATTTCATGGAGTGAGAAATTTACTGTATCTTATCAGCACAATATCTGAGATGCCATCCCAAACTTTTTCTATTACTAAACCTAGTGATTTTTTGAAAGATACAGTAGTGAATTCTGATTATAACAATGAACCTGAAGTTACACTGCAATATTTTTCGGGGAAAAAAAAAAATCCATGAAATGAGAACCTAATAAGAGGCAATTTTTCAGTTGGGTTGATATCTAATTAGCAGAAAGCAAAGACATCAGCAGTATTTTTACTGTCCTCTAGGTCAATAAGCAATATCTATTTTCCATAAATGAACATCAGTAAAATAGTGGTAAAGATGCAAGCAACTATTTAAAAATACATGCCAAAATATACTGAGCTGTGACAAGTGTATGAGGTTAGTGCACATTATAGCCAACCTCTGTACCCCAGCAGATTACAGAGGACCAGTATAAGTAAAAATGCTGAGTGACTAAATAGTTTAATAGAAAAAGTAGAATAATGGTATGCGGTGGAGTAATGTCCATATTTGCTTTTCAATCCCATAAGACAGCCTCACTGACTAATGGATGGTTCAGTTGTCCTCAGTTGTCAAAATGGCTCAATCCCATCAATTTCCAAACATGCATAGTGTGTCAACTCAAATCCCATTGAACATGCAGTAACATTTGCGTCAAATTCATTCATATCATTATGGCTTACAGCCTCAGTGCTTATTGCTATGAAAAAGTGGTGATGAAAAAACCTGCCATTTATGTGTTTTTTATTTGTCATGCAAATAATCAGCCCAGCTGGATCCCAATTTTCTCTAGGGAGAGAGTCTTACTGAGATGTTTTGTTTCCATCAAGGCCTTGACCCCCTGCTCAGCTTGTGAAGACACTGGGCTGGTTTTAGGCGTAGTCCTTGACTAAATTCACTTTTCCTTAGATAATCCAATTGAATATTTTTGGTTTATGTTTGTTTGTGAAAACTGTGAAGTATGACTGGCCTTTGGCTTTCTCACCTTTTTTAAACAGTGGAATGCTAGAGGTTCTGAGAATGTTTAGGACAGTTGTACTACGTATTGTACACACTACAATGAACTGCACCATCAGTCTGTATGTGATCATTCCAGTGTTCTACAGCATAAATGAAAGCTACCCTCTTTACAGCTACCAGATATGTGCTCATGTGCAAGGGGGAGGTTTGAGAAACCCCACACCGTAATGCACATTGAGGTTTGTTAATGACAGGAATAGATGCAAGAGCACTGTGACATAAAATTCAAATGATTTTTTTGACTAAAAATGCAGTTAAGTTTGCAGACAGCAAAGCACAGGCAGCGCGGCTGTTTGTAGAATTATCAGTTGAAGTCGTCTTTTCTGCTTAGAATCTAAAATGTGAAAAAGGCAGTAGGGGGTACCATGCATGGGCAGAATAACATGATTCTTGTTTTGAATGGAGTTATATAACCTGTCTAGGAGAAGTACATCGATTCTCAGAGGTTTTCTTGAGGTGGTCGCTGTGCCACGCTTGTGCCCACAAAGAGAGCACTTTTTCTACACTGAGTCAGCAGTGTGCCACTGCATTTTAATGAACTCAGCTGAAGCTTATCTGAACTGACTTACCAGCCCACAGATTTATTCCCATGGCTTTTATTGCAGTGAAGCAGGTGAGGCACCTTGGTCAAGGGCACAGAAGAAAATCTTTTCAATTTAGCTGCATCAGTCTGCTGGCAAATTGGAAAAAGAGATATGCTATCCTGCAAGAGGCTATTTTGATGCATAATGTCACAAATCATGGGTGGCATTGTGTAATAATGCTGTTTTTTTTTTTTTTTGTTTTTTAAAGTTAGTTTTTGCACTGGCAAAGTTCATTCCCTCATGTAGGCCTATATCTGTAAATAATGCTGTTTTTTGATTGCTTTTAAAGGGAGTTTTTGCAATGGCGAAGTATATTCCCTCATGTTTATCCCTCAATAATGCTGTTTTTTTAAACTGTTTTTAAAGGAAGTTTGTGCTGTGGTAAAGTTTATTCACTCATGTTTGTCCATCAATAATGCTGTTTTTAAAATTTTTTTAAAGGAAGGTGTTTGCAGTGGCAAAGTTTATTCCCTCATGTTTTTCTATAGTTGCACTTTTCTTTTTGCTCAGCCTGAAGAGCAGTGAAAAGTCAGGCTCAGCATCACAGTGTGATGAAAATGTGATGAAATTGGGTAATCAACTTATTCAATGCTGCAATAACCTTACGTAACTCCTGCTGAGGCTGCACAGTCCCCTGCTCTGAGGCTGGTGTAACTGTTATGGAAAATGGAATGAAGATTTAGTAATGCCCAGCTGTTAGTGTGCTTGTGGACAATTAAAGGAGCGATTATAGAACGCAATATAAATCCGGATGATCAGTTCTCTTCAAAGCTGCCTCTGCCTAGTCTGTCATTGAATGGACCTTGACACTCGGGATAGGCATTCAGGCTGAATAAATAAAAACAACAACCACAAAAAAGACCCAGCTATACGATAGTAGAACACGCAACAAAACATACAGGGAGATGAAACGAATCAACTGGCGAAGCTGAATAACTCAGGAATTGCGCTCTCTGATTGTAGAACTGGATTCTGCAGTACTGTACAGTATGGAATGCTCATGTGTGCAGTCCACAAGCAGACCTGTCAGATTCTGTCAGTGTCAAATCGAAACTCATGAGAGCTCTTCAGTGGGCATGTGTAAAGATGGCTTACGTGCAATTCTTATTTTCTCATAGCCATGCTATGAAAACATATTAAATGTTTAATAAGACAGTGGAATGAGGGGCATGCTGATGGAGTAAAAGCAGATATGCGTCAACAGGAACCAGGTTTTTGCTTTACAAGAATAAGTGGTACTTTTGCTTGAATTTCAAATTCATATATCAGCTTTGTTTAAGAAGTGGCTAACAATATTATTCTTCAAACAATTACACATCCATCTCTGGAGGTCCTTCAGCTTATTCATTTCAATCTGCTCTATTATCATTTTCTTCCATGTGGACATGAAAAATATCCAAAGCTGGTCAGTGGATAGGTGGAAATTTGCATCCATTAGCTGTTGATTTTGCATTGCCCAGAATGAAAGTGAGCCAGCTACACTGGCTACACTGAAAAAAAAAAAAAAAAAAAAAGGTTACTGGTTGTGGACATCGGTTACAAATTATTAAAACGTGCTTAATCAACATAAATCATCCTCTTTGTTTTACTTCATTTTCATTTTTTTGTGGTGTTGCTTTTTATTGAGTTGATAGAATTGCATAAAGACTGGAAACATAGCATTATTTGTAAAATAGACAATCAATCTTTCCCTGTATTGTCAGCAATATTTAAAGATAGTTGATACATGCTGTACACAAAATATTTGGTCTGCTGTGAAGCTTCTCAGGTTAAAGAACATCCAAACCTCTCCATGAGCATTGACTGAATCCTGAATAGGTTTGAAGTA